AATTCTACGAATTTTTGACTCAAATTTGAAAACCTGTTTTCCATTTATTTATTTATTATAAGTACCCTCAAAATAATTTCAGCTCCCCGCATTTACCTCAGTCAGTCAAGACAAACCTTTTTATAATATAGATCAATCTGGCTCTTTCGCGATTTATATATGTATAAAGTATATAAGTATCCCACCGTTGCAGAAAATTTTGCATTCAAAGCAATTTGATCATAATTTTTGCACATTTTAAAAAAAGAGTGGCATATTTATTGAAATCTGCATAAAAAGCAAAGCATACACTTGACTCCGTAATGCAGAGCCAAATGCATAAGTAAATATAGGGATTATCATAAATATGAGCATAAAGCTTAAGTAAGTAAGTTTATGAATTATTCTGCTTGAACAATTTTACATAAATTTCAAGAACAACAATAACAAGAGCAACCAAATAAAAACCCCTTTAGAATTTGTTCTTTTCGTTCAAACAAATACAAAACTTTTTGCATAATGAGGCACATTAAACGGAAAGGCGAAAGGATAACAACGGGAAGGAAAAACATGTAAAAAGTTTTCTTGCAAACACGTGTCCTGCGTAGAGTGTGGAGGCCCCGAGACATCAATGCCCAATTAGGTAAAGAAACACTCCAAATATGTCAAAGTTTGGGGCATATTTTTTGCTTTCCAGTTAGACCCAATCTAATAAGCAAACTAAACGGCCGTAATGTTTGCCTCGAGCAGGCAGTATGTGAAATTAATTCACTTAAAATGCCACAAAAGTATACATACATACATGCGACTATGTACATACATACACATACATACAAGTATATGCATAGTATTCTAGTATACTTATGTTGCAGGCCAGCGATGACGATGACGCACTCCCTAAAGGGTGTGACGCTTTCTATTCGGGGTACTACCACCTTAGAGGCAAAAGCATGTTGCCCTGACCTGCCCACAACTAAGTATTTACTTGGTCTAAATGTTTGGCTTATCGGCTTGGATTGCAAATTGGTTGGGGGCCTGAATTTTGGGGCTGGTCTGCGCGTAATGAGTCTAATGATGACGGCCCCAGCCAATGAGTAACATTGTTTCCTTTTCTTTGGGCGCCAAAATTGTTGCTTCGCGGCTGAATAGTGGCGCCTAACATGAAGACTATATGTAGGCGGCTACGAAATCGTGTCTTTCCCACATAAACCTAAACGAAGGCCTTTCACTTACTCAACGAGTGGGTGCCACATGCAAATGTCTAGTTGACATTCCTAGTAAGTGCTGGATCCGGATATTAAATGTAGTACAGTCAACCATTTTGAACTAAACTAAAGGGCTTACCATTGAAGTTAACAGAAATAAGAGGCTAACATTTTACTATATAATTCTATAATAATTCGATTGGGAATTAATGTCGAGTTGGCATTCCTAAAGTAATCGTGTATTCAGATTCCATTTCTCTTCAGACATTCATTTTGCTCATGCATGATTCATTGTTGAGTGGATCTGACGCTTTAAAACAATCACATTTAAATATTTAAGGTCGATATAGTGTATTTTTTAATACAAAAAATATTTCTGTGCTTTTGAAACATTACATTATTAATAAGTTAACAAATATTTGCTGAAAATATTTTTCAATTGAAATATCTACTTTTATTTAAACTCCTGAAACAGATATAGGAATGGATGATTTATTACTGCAAGCAGTTTAAAACACCACCAAACCAACGGAAGTGAATCCCACAGAGCTATAATTGAAACAACTCGAGAAAAGATTAGGATGCACATTATCATAGAAAAGAGAGAGAGACCAATGATTTAATAAAAGTTGTCAATTGAAATGCATTGAAAGGCCAAAAGGGAGCCTACGAAGTATTGAAAATAAAATTAATTCTTGTTTTTCATAGACATGTATTGAAAAACTGTAACGGTATAATTTAATTATGTGACTAAAAAAAAACTGGAAAGGTTCTTAATTTTGTGGGGAAACAATCAGTTTGCATTAAAATGAGTAAATAAAGAAAGTATTACCCTTAGCATTTTAAAAATAAAAAGCATATTGTTACCTGCACTTCTATTGAAATTGCAATTAACCACAAGAAAGTGCAAAATAAGTTTAATAGTCCTAACCCCTTCCGTTTCTCAGATCGAAACGTTCATACATGCAAACAAACTTGACAAGTCCTTCAAAATCCACTTATATTCCGAATAAATGCGGTAAAAGCTTTTCAACATTAACTGTTCCTTATCGATTGTTTTACATGTCTAGAATAAAGCTGTTTGCTGAACCATTTCGACAAATCAATAGGAATGAATACATTTGTTGAAGAATGAAAACGGAAAGGCCTAACTCTGAGTCTTTTTATTTGCCGCATAGCTACGGTAGCCAAATTGTAGATATACTATATAATTTGTAGCTCGACGAACATCTTCAATTAATTATAAGAAAATAAAAACAAGTTCAATATCACTAACCCATATAGTCTCTTCGCTCGAAACGTTTAAACATGCAGACGAGCCTTTCTAAATCAACTTTTAGTCTGCGTGAATAACTGGAGCGAGAACTTTTGAAAGAATAGCTATTTTATAGAGTGCTGTATTTAATTATGTTTATAAAAGTATTTGTGTGAATATATGATGACAGCTTTTAAAATCTCTCGCTACCGTACCTAAGCGTGAAGAATTGGCGTAAAAAACGCTCGTTCTGTTCAGTCGGTTGCGAAAACCTTGAATTTGTTTACAGAACTCATTATAAAGCAAATATTGTACCACGACGTCCAAGTACAGTCCGTGGTGTGCTTATACTGCTTATAGTACTTCAACACGGCCCCCTGTCTGTCTGCCCTAAGTGCGATTCCGATTCCGATTCACCGTCCAAGTCCGAGTACGTGTGTCCGTGCCAGTTTGTGTTGCAACTTTTATCATTTTGAGAAGCAAGTGTTGAAATATGCGGGGCGTTTGGGACATGTTTGGCATAAAAATGGTAGCATGTTTAAATAAATGCCAAAGTAAGACGCAGAAGAAATTAAAAATTGAATTTTGAAACAGTTCCCCTCTAAAAATAACAAATTTCTAGTATAAGTTGGTTATGCATTGGATACATTCCTTAGCTATATCGCTATATAGGCGTTCTTAAAATGCAAATTCATTCGAAACAGTCATTAATTACACACAGCCAACAGGTTCTAAGGCAACCCACTTGTAGAATTTGAAAAGCTTTAATAAACAATTTTAATAGCTTTGTTAAAATATGCTTAAAACTGCAAACTAATTCCATTATATAAGCCACTAATGTGCTTTATCACCAGCATGCTATGACTATATATAATTTTTTTATCAAACTTTTTTGTGGGGTTAACTAAACAATAATTTTGTTCTCTCTTTCTCTCTTTGTCTCTCTATCTATTTTTTGCTGCTTTTGTTAGTTTTGCGCTTCGTCTCATTTACTCGACAAACCACAACAGAGTCGCCAAATAACTGATAACATATATATATATACTTATATACTATACTAGCACACAATCCACTCATCTCATTATTAAGGGCGCCTTTCTGTACTCCATGCCGGAAAAAACGCTTATGAAGACAAAATATTGATAAGAGGTACGCGACTCACATATCACAAAATCGTCGCATTTCGTATTTGTAATATGACTCCATAACTGGTTATTGGTTCGACAATATGTACGAATTGTTAGTGACATACATTGGTTATTTCAGTATTTTCGATGTCCATTACTTGTACATCTTTTTGCTGTAGCTTTAAAATATATTTCAATCGGGGTTAGATCTGCTTAGCTGACACCATAAGTGTTAGTTCTCCTTTACTGAACTCATAATATTAAAACACGGATTTAAAAAAAAAAAATTGACTCTTTAACTGGTTCGAAAACACGAACGTGTATAGTATTTACTAGATAATGACAGTAAATAGAAATTTCAGCTTATCGATTTCAAATTCCCTTGAATTTCTTTAAATTTCGAAACTAATGCTTTAAATTAAATTTGATACAGTGTTAAAATTTATTTTTTAAATGAAATCGTCATCCAAAATACAATATTTCAAATATTAATAATATGTTATTACAAATGTATTATAATTTTAATTAACTGCCAATATTATTATGAATGTTTTTCTTATTAATTAGATATGTTTGATTTATATATTTTTTATTATTATTATTAAATATTGTAAAAACAAAAATGTATAAGCTAAAAGTATTTAATCAATTTATTGAAGATCTAACTTCTAATTTGTTAATGATTTAATCTGTTTTACTAGTTTTATTACTATGTACTTTTCATTGTATTATTTATATTCCCATGCTTCCCAAAGAAGATGTCGTTCTCTGCACCCGAATATGCCAAATACTTTGAGCTCAGATGACTTAGCTCATGTTTTTTTAATTATTTATTGCCTTTTTATTCGTGAATGTTATAATAAATATGTTTCATTATTTTTAGCTAAAAATATTATTTTCTTTTTCATTTATTATTTTTTATTTAATTCGACATGAACTATTTGCTCCATCCTTAAGCTTAGAAAAATAAAAACAAGTTTTCTTTGGCTATTCTTGCGCAACGATGCGGTTTCCTATTACTATTGGGCGTAGTTAAATTATTTTAAATTTAAGATAAAAAAAAAGTAAAACGCGGCCTAAGAAGCGCTTCAGTGTATTTAAAGTACGCTAATTTCCAAATAAACAGTGAATCATAGAATATATATAATTATAAATAATAAATCAACCTACACTTGCCATTTATGTGAATCAGACTCGAATAATAATAGTGGCTTGACAAAGGGATATTGAACATAATGAATATACTCGTACATAAGTAAGAGGACTGGAAATAGAATCCATCATAAATGACTAACAATTGGGCTATTACAACTACTCGTATTCGGTCGCGTTCTATTTCAAAATTATTGAATTATTGCTTTTAGATGCTGGCTGGATTTATGAGTAACTTAAACTTGATTGTAATGAGACAAGATTTTTATTTTTGTAACTCACCCCAGTTTTTGCCGGTACGTCCGAAAAAAGTTCCATTTTGTGGATCATATATGAACTCGGAAAGGGTTACCTTCTTTGCAGGCTGTGGAAACTCGTAGGCAACTTTTTCATTGTTCTTGGACATTTTGGCGGTTTTTTTTTGTTGCTGTTGTTTTAGGTTTTCACTAAAATTACACTTTTTGCTCGATTTAAATTTTATTGCTACTGCTGCTGACGTGGACGGTGTGAAGGCTAAGAAAAAATTTTAATATTATATTTTTATTGAAAACATTGGCAAAGAGAGCACTATACGAATGTGTATATATGTACATATATAAATATAGATATTTTTTACTGCGCTTGTAAATTATAAATATAAAAGGCACAAGAACACAAAAATGTTGAAAAGGTTATAATTATGCAATTATTTAACTTTTTTTTCGAAAATTTTTAAAAAATAATTTTATAGCAATTAATAATCAGAAACAAATGGCGCACACATACACAGACGAGCACAAGCACACACACAACAGCGAAATTGTTGTTGGTGCTGTTGCTTAGGTGTACAACGGCAACTCTCGAACTGAACTGTTAATCACACGTTGCGTCGTGGTGCGTGCTGCGTGCTGCGCTCTCGAGGAAAGATCACCAACTGAACGCGGCCCCCGAATGTGGCCAAGCAGCACAACACTTGTCGTTGGCGCGCCAAGCGCGGCGCTGTCTTCAGTTACTGTGCCAACAGCAGCAGCAACAAAAACAACAACAGTGTGCTCACCAACACTCTCTCACACACGAGCAATGTGCTCAGCTAACACGCACTCACACACACACACACACATTTATTAGCCTGTGTGGGAGAGCGTGTAAAGGTAGAGCAGCAAATACAAAAGATGGGAGGGCTAGCTGATAAAATGATAAAAAAGGAATAAATTGGTGTTTTCATAATACATACTACTTATATAGTAAATCTCATCTGGGGCCGTTACTTCATTATATCCATGTTTTTTTTTAATTTTGAAAATATTTGAATGTGTAGCTCTCGAATTTTAGATCCTTCATCACACTCCAAAATACTTGCTCCTTGCAAACAATAAATACAATGTTTTGCCTTTATCAAAATTGTAAAAAATGCGATACGAATTAATCAATTCCACATTATTATTCTAAGATCTCCGTGACTAAATTCATGAAGAGGTTATACGAAAGCTTATGATACAACATTGTCAAATTCTATTTTTCCCAAGGCTTTTCAGAATTTTATGATTGTTGGATAGCTTGCGAGGTGATTATGTTGATAAATAAACTAGTATCCACTCAGAAACATTGCATTATCTCACCTAAACCGATTACTTATCAGCCAGTCCCCTACAGACAGCTGTTGAATACTGTCGACACATACAGAGACGCATATAAACCAACAACAACAGAGAAGGGCAAAGCTTCTTGACAGCGGGTGGCATCGAGGGTTTGGTGAGGGATGACGGTCTGCTTTTGAGCACCAAAATGCTTGCCAAATGTCTTGACGCAGTTCCTTTGGCCGTATTGATGTATGTCTAAACCTATTTACGTATAGGACGATGTATATACAACATAAACATAAATATAAATATAAATGTACATGCTCTCAGTCACTACGCAAACAATTCAGTTATTCACTGATTGAGCGCAGACAGTATCCAGACAACAACATTTAGAAACAAAAAAAAAAACCTTAGGGGGTGTTTTTGTGGGTGCGGTTCTAGGTGATGATGGCGCCCAATGTTAAATACAAAAATAACGAGTATTTATCAAATTCAATATTCATATCAGTCATATTACTCAATATAAAAGAAAGAAGAGTTCAAATTCTATAAAAGTTTTTTTTTTTTGAATTGCGAAAATTAAATGTGATTTAACAATTTTATATTCAAACATATTGAAAATATGGCAATAAAATTGAGTTTATTTATAACTAAGCAGAATCTGTTTTTATTGGTTGATACTTGGCTTTTTTTGGTGTTCTGATGATTTTCTGTTCACGTATAAATTTTTTTAAAGATAAAATTCAATGCTGATTTGTGTTCTATTCAATAATAGTGTTAATTTAATTAATCTCTCTAAATATTTAAAATATCAATATCAATTATATTGCATAGTTTATTGATATGTCCAACATAAAATACTTTATATACTTGCAATTTATAAAATCCAAAAGCAAAATAATTTTCTCAAATTGCGTTTTGACTTACAACATAAAATACTATCTTATTTGCTTGAAACCAAATAAATATAGTATAGTACCAAAGTAAGTTTTAGAAAGGGCTATGGGGCTGGGATCCTCAGCCCGCAACGTAGCAATTACAGTCCTGCCTTTTGGTGTTCATGCAAAACTGTTGCTTTATAAATATTAAAATACAAGCACAAATGAAGAAATATGCACGCATACTAACTGCGCTATTCGCTCTCTCGCCTACACTCATGAGCGCGCACTCAACTGACAGAAGAGGAAACGTGCGCTACGCTCAATGCTCCCAACTGACCGAAGTCGGAGAAAAGAGTACATTGGCTTTTGTGCTTCACTCGCTGCGGGTGCGGGTTACTCAGCGCTTCCCTGAGGCTTCTGCTTTATTTATTTTCAGGGAGCGCCGACATTATGTTAAGTGTGTTGTTCTTTTTTTGTGTGTGACTTTTGCTTTGCATTCAAACATTTTTGGTCTCATTTTTCGGACTGTTTTGTGCTGGGAAGCTTTGGAAGTTTTCCTTCTTTGTTGCTATTGCTGTTTACGGTTTTGTTGTTGCTTTGTTTTGGCATTGTTCCATACAAAAAGTTTCCATGCGCGCGTGAAAACAAAACCTTCATTATGGGTGTGCATGTGTGTAGAAGACGACTCTGCGTACTACTTTAGCTAATAATGTTTCCTTATACCCTGTAAATGAAGGGCAAAAGGGTAATTAAAACATCGTTCAGTTTTTGTAACATCCAATAGGAAGCGGGGCAGAGCCTGACCATTATGATGAGACAGACACGTTCGTCAGTCTATCTCACTATCTCATCTAGCGCCACTGAAAGCTCTTATTCTAGAGTCACTAAACTTAGTATAAGAGTCAAATCAACTACAACTTTAAATTAATTTTTTAATCAAAACTCCTATAATTCTTAAATGTTGATCTCATATTTTCCCTTCTTTTAAAGCTTCACAATTTCTTTATTTTAATAGGGGAACTCTAAATAATTTATTGTCGAAAATTAGGTTCTATTCTAAGATATTCATATTTGTATTTAAGAACATTTAAAATATTTTAAATTAAAAATTAAAGAAAAACACAAATAAAATTGTGTGTTTACATTAAATATTTTAAAATTTATATACAAAAAAATAATTTAGTATTTAAGACTTAAAACACTATATATAAAAATAATAATTAATTAATTCTTATTAGTAATTACTGAATCGGGTACAAGGTTTTATCATAAACGGCTTTATCTTATATTATTAATTTATTATAATTTTTTTAGGTTTTACAATCAAAAACATTTTTAGTTTTTTAAAATTTAAGTTAAGGCAAATGTTAAATAATGATAAAACATTTAAACTAATTCCTAAAACAGGTTCAGGCCATAAAGAGTACACCATGTTGCATAATACAAGTAAAAGTAATCGCAAAATTTATTGAACTTTATTGAAAAAAGTAAGAAATGAGGTTAAATAATAAAACATATTTTTGTAATTTGTGTTATTTATTTACTTTAAATTAAAAGCCGTTTACAAATGTTGTAATTGAAATGAAATGAAAAATTAAATTAAATTAAATTAAATTAAGCTCGGTAAAGAGGACCAATTATATGGTATAAGAGTTTGGTGCTCTCAAAACTCTAGCCTTCGACTCGTGTTTATTGTTGTTGGCGCTGTTATCATGCGACTTACATACATTACTCATCATCAGCAATTGTTGGCGTCATCATCATCATCATTATACACATACATACATACATATAGTATATGCATGTGTTCATATGTAAAGCAAGCTCGTTGTCAAGTGTCAAGCGCTTTCGAGTTGATTAAGTCAAATTAACAAGCATTTCCGAATGGGAATGTGCATCTGTGGCAGCTGCCGAGTTCAGTTTCAATCCGCAGCTGCCCCACACACGCACCCCCTCCCACCTCTTCATCAGCCCACCCATAATATTATCATTGGCATCTTCTAGTCTGGCGTTGCCCTTAGCTACATTTTGTATGCGTGCAATCTTTACACTTTACTGTTGTAATCATCATAAATTTATTAAATTACACTTGACGACATCTGTCTGGGTGGCGGCTCATCGAACTCGCTATCCCCTGCACACCTTGCCATACCCATATAAAGGGGCATATGTATACTACATAGTACGAGTACTATATATATTGTATAGTTGCCATGACATTCTGGTTGTTCAGCTGGAAATTCAAGGTACACACAACACACGAATTGTAAGCTGAGTAGCTCATTAGACACTCCTTTTGTTGTCTGTGGATGCTGGCATGGGCACGAGTTCGAGTATATACGATTCAGTATTCAGTTTCAAAATCAACTATATATTCTGTTAGAGTTGCCAGAGGGCTTTGTTCACTGCTAGTATATGAAACCAATTCTAAGTTTAAGAAATAAAACGAATTAAGTATTGTAGACGGTTCTAAAAGTGTAAGCAATTTGTCCATAGGTCTTATGTTCTCGAAAAATATATTATTATTACCTATTATTATTATTACCTAGTCTATTAAGATATCGAATGACTTTTCCTATGCCAATCGAGAATCCTATTGAAAAATACTCAATTAGAGAAGATAAAAAGGACTCCATAAACCGGATTATTTGTAACTTCTTTTTCCCAATAAATCATTTTGCCAATAATATTCTCAGGCGAAATTTGTCCAACACTTTTTGAATGCTGATCTCGTCTCTCTGTCCAACAAGTGAAAGACCTAACATATTTAATAATTTTAAATAATACCTTTAACAAATTTAAAATGCAAAATTCATTTTAAAATACGGTTCAATGGTTCAATAGTAACTCTATATAGGTGCATGTTAAATATTGTATTTCTTGATTACTTTTCTTCTAATTTTATACTTTTAATACATGTTTAAATATGAATAATACATTTGAGTAAAATGATCAATTGTGGACAAACAAATGAAAATAGGTTTAATTTAGAAAGCTAATCCATTTTCGATTTTTTGTGTTTTTCCTCGAATAAGTTATTATCCCTTTCTTGGGATAAGTTAAAGTCTAAAAACTTCAAAAAATTTTATAAATTGATTATCGAAAATACCGATTATTTTACTTTATTTTATAGAAGAACATGCGAATTTAGACACAAAGCGTGCACTTTTTATTTAGCTTTTCATTGCTCTTCGTGTAAATAACTATTTTTGCGATATATTTGTAGTTTCTGTGGGTCTGAAATACCTAGAAAATTGTTGTTGTGCCAAACATTTTTAGCCTCGGTTGCCTGATACGGGTTTCCTCCATCTGATTCCTCGAAATTTGAGCCTAATCCATCAGTTTGGATGTACATATAGTAGAGGTATAAATTGAAACACTCAGCAACCGGTTTACGGATATTCCCGTTTAAAAGAAGTCCGGATAATCGAGGTTCTGTATCTTATAAATAATAATAATATCTTATAAATAATAGTAATAACTTTGTTCAATTTAGAAAAAGGAAGCAGCCGTGTACTTTATTTACTAGACTCATCCATTCGCATCCATTCCCATGTATATTACTGTGAGTTCGCTTTCAGCAGCCATCCATGGAAGCAACGACAGATGGAGATCGACCCGTCCAGCTAAAACTGGCTTCGGTTTATCTGCCTATAATAATGTAGTGCCATACATAATTATGAAATTGTAGCTGAACGGGCAGACAGACAGTAAATGAGCTTCCCTTGTCTGGCACTTTAACTTTAACTCTGGCTCGAGCCCATGCTAAATGGCAGCCAAGAAACCAGTTTATCTGGTCTGAACTGAAATGTTTGTGATTTTTCCAGCAACTCGTACGCATACATTGCCATCCTCCGGATAGTTTCCTCATTAGAACATAATTCCATAGTCCCTATTTGGCTGAGATTTCTGCTCATATGTGCTTTACTGATTGACAGGCATTTGTAGTCTTCCCTCCAGTAATTATCTGCTAATTAGTTATCAGTTCTGGCCCAGTAATTTGCATCTTTCCATTTGCATGCCCCCGCACGCTGTACTTCCGAACAGACATTAAACAGCTGACAGTGCCCAAGAACCAGTTTGAAAAGCTATGTATAGTGCTTATGCATATATGTATGTAATTAAAATTTGCTCTGCTGACGTCATAAAAGCAAATACGTTCCGTACTTTTCGAAGAATTCTCGCATTATCGACAGCAGATACATAAAAAAGCTGCCGCAATGGCCGAGCGGAACATTCTACCTATAATGGCCTACAGAGGGGAATTTCAATTATATTTTTTGCCTATTTTTAAAATTACATTGAACACATGCACAGTGAGAATTGGATATATTTTGTATATATGCCATATTCTATATAAGCGTCCCCTTGCTCTGTTCACACTTGTTATGTTTTATTCTCATTTCGACTTTTCGTCTGACAGCAGAAAACGCTTTTCTTGCCGCTCGCGCTTACTCAAAATTTTCAAATTCTCAATACTTGTTATTTGTGTTTGGACCAATTTAGTAGCGCTGGAATGTCCTTTATAAATTACTTTCATATTATGGTATAAAATGAAATAAAAAATATTAAGCTGTGAAGTGTTTCTGTATTTTTTTAAGGATATTGTTGATGCTTAAATTTCACATGGAAATTACTGATGCTTTAATAAATGTTTTTTTAATATTTTTATAATATTCTTGCCGTTCGTTTATAAAAAATAAAACTCAAATAATTTAACTATCGAGTTTTCAATGCTGAATAACAAAAAACTTATCTAACTAAGAGTCATTTCTCCACAAATCGTTCCTATGGCAGCTATATATTGTGGTTTATAGATTTTCATTAAATTTCAAATGGCAAAACACTGGCTAATCATATTTTATATATTCATATTTACAGATTATGATGAGAAATTACCATTTTATTTGACTTTAAATAGCATTGTCCTCAATAATAAATTGATAGTACATTTCATCAGTAATCCAGTAAAATTATCAAAAACATTCTATGTACGTATAAAACGATTTAGAGTCTCTGATACAATTGCAGACTTTATTACTTAATTCGCTCCGATTATCACACGTCTTCTAGTTACATCACTGATTTTTGTTACAATTCTGTATCCAGCTCTAACTAACTTATTAATAAATAATTTCAAAATAACTTCGTCGCAAGAAAATTATCAAACTGATTGTGTTATCTCAAATAAAATCATTTTTATTTTAGGGCAATGGTGGTGGAAGGACCCATTGGTGTTCCCCACCTTATATATTAATGGCATTTCACTGTATCTTCACGTCTTCGATTGCGCTCTGTCTAGAGTCTAGACATGCTTGACTTCCCTCATACGCACATGGGCTGAGTATTTTTTAGCATTTAGCACGTCGGATGAACGTCTTACCAGTTTTATTGCGTATGGCAAGAGCGCTGCCGATTGTGACCTGTTTGCTGTTGAGTCAGTTGCCTTCGATGTGTGTTTTCACAGTTAAATAATGAAACAAGTTACAAGTGCATTTTAGGTGCAAGCTCAGAAGTGCCCGAATCTGAGGGTGTTAATCAACTACAAGCTTTCCGGATTATGACTTAAATTTTGTTATATAAAAAGTAAAAAGCGATATTTTGTTAGGCATAAAGAAAATAGTTCAAATTCCTGTAGAAAAGAGCTGAAGAGTACGAATATTCTGATAATTCTATCCTAAATTGGGGAAACATTTAGGAAAAGAAAGGGGAAAAATAACACTAATGAAGAGTACGTATGTTCTGATAATTCTGATAATAAAAATTGGGGAAACATTTAGTCAAAAGAAAGGGGAAAAATGACAACTAATGAATTCATTAACTTCTGGTAGCTACAATAGTGAGTACACAGATGACACTTGGGTGGAAGTTTGCTGAAAATTCGTACCCAAAATGGGAAAACATTTGGGCAAGAGAATAAACAGAAAATCTAAAAAAATTATAGAAGAGGGTAGGTAGAACATAGAGAGTTGACATTGGGCTACTAGTTTGCTGAAAAATTGGTCGCTGATTGAGGAAACATTTAGGCGAGGAAATGATACTAACTACTGATAGCTGGTACTAAAAGAACTGATATTGGAGTACACATGTGCGCAAAATTCGACTTACAAAGAAATTGTTGTTCTTAGCACAGCAACTCTTCGGTTAAGTCGAATAAGAGTTGGCTATACAGATGCCTTCAAGAACATTTCATTACTATGCAGTAGCGTAAAAGTATTGACCATTTGGACAACTACTTAGTAGCTGCTACAAAGAGTGTCAGTTGTTGACGTATCTTGATGACCGCTTTGTTAATAATTGATAAGGTGCGGTGAAAACTTTTCACTAATTGAATGTATGTATTAATAAATCAAAAACTATTAAAACGCTGAAGGCAAATAAAAATTGTGTGACGCAATTGGCCAAGTTGACGCGATAAGTTCTGCTATACTATATACAGACTGGTCTATATATACGTAAAGCTTCTTGTGGCTGAGTGCGTAAGAATTGGCTTTGAATTTTTGTCATATGGCTAGCAGCAACTGACCGCAAAGATTTGTGATTTCAATCTGTGATAGGGACGAGCAAGCGCGCTCTATCTTATCTTATCTTATCTTATCGTATCGTATCGGGTATATTGTATTTTGTATGTTGTGAGTACGGCAATTCAAATTTACGTAACCCTGACGTAGACAGCTTTTGAGAAAACCCATGATTGGTTGGTTATCTGGAAAAAAAGTAGAACTTGTAATGCATTCGATTTGTTGTTGTTCTTTTTGGTACAATTTTTTCTTTCAACGTTTTATTGAAAATGTTATTGAAGTGTTGGATTTTGTTTGTTTGTTGTTGTTGCTTCACATTTAACATTAGAAACTTACAAATTATCTGCACGAACACTTTATTTTGTTTCCCATTCTGATTGTTTCACATTGCTTAATATTTGTAGTTGTAGAGAAATTTAATACGTACATCTAAAAATATGCAAAAATTGGTTGTTTGTGTTGTTTGGAAATATATAATTGTAAATATGTTTAGATTTAATTTGAAAATTTGTAGACTTTGAATTTTTTGTTTATTATTAAGGGAGAGGAGTTTTGGCGCCAAATTCTGGTCAGCAGCTTAGTTTGCAAAGTTTGGTCAAACAGTTCACATTAAATATTAAATTTTAAATCGTTTTAATATACTTAACAGGCCCTCTTACTCGTCTTTAAATGGCAGTTGAATTTTGTTATATTTATAAGCAATAACAGGTTAAGAATTTGTCGTAAATGAGATTCGTACTTGGTTAGTTAGCAATACAATTCATTGTTCAATTGCGATTCTTTTTCATTTTTAAATAATTTTATTCACAAACTCTGCATGTCACTCAGCAATATTAGTTAAATTTAGTTAATTGTATTTGTAATGCAAAAATTGCTCATAATTATTAGAATCAGCTTAGTTGGTAGACTATATATTTCTTTTTGTCTATAGGTATAAATGGTATATAATAAGAAGCTACATTCAAAAATTTGACTATCCAAAAAGTGTGTTAGTTTTTCAAAGTATCTTTCTATTTGCATTTCTTGGTTTTTTATAGAAAGTTAATGCCTCTCGCAGACAGAAAAAGTGTGTGTGTTTTGGTGTTCCTCTTGCTCTATATATCAGACTGTTAAGTGTCTGCTACTCTATCATCTAATAACGCCCCTGATCGTCCACATTAATCGATCAAGAGCTCATAGTGTACGGAGCCAATTCTCTCCTTGCGATCGTGAATAATGTTGCGGGCCCATGCTTTGCACTCCACATTGATGATAATGCCACCTAATGGGCAAAGTTATAGGTTTCATGTTAGATCGGAAATAGTTAATTAGAGGCCAAATGATACTCACGCTTGGGGCGCTGGAAGTGCACCGCCACTAGTGGACTCAAGTAGCCCTCGGAGTTCTGATACGGATAGAAGTAGCCGGGGAAGCCGCGTATCGGCAAATAGTTGATGGCGCCAATGTTCTCCTGATCGGCAGGGTTCTCACCCTCACAGGACACCCAAATGGTATTTAGCTACCGAAGGAAATGCAGCTTTAGAACGACAATCTTTAAACGCAGTATGTATTTGTAACCCACCTTGTGCGCCTGCGTCTTTTCGATTTCACTAATGTAGGTCTTCAGACTGCCGGGCATGTTCTCGGGCAAATCGTTCGAGTTGTTGTAGTACTCTGGTATCCAGCCATAGATTTTGTTCAGCTTCAGGAAGATGCAGGGCGAGCTTTTGTGATAGCTGTAGTTGTTCTCCTTTGTGCAGGGGGACCACGACTTGATGTCCACATCGCACACCTGGCCCTTTGGCGGTGGCTGATTGTAATCGCAATTGTAGATGTTCTGGCCACGACCATGTGTCAGGCCAGGCACTTTGTAAACTGTTTAATGGCAGAAGAAGAAAAGGCCATTAATAAAGTCCAGTAATTTCAGAAAAAGTACTATAATCCTAAACGTAAACTCCTCGCCATTTTATTCTGTTGTCCATTTTTTGTTAACTTTAAAATGTATGTGCAACTCTTACTAAAGCAGCAGGAAATGAATCAGCAAAGGCTTAAGTACCATTTCACATATTTTGTGAGGCAATGTATCTGAGTTATGGTCGTAAAAGCGACAAATCTATTTATACTTAGAAGAATGTCAATTTCGAAAAATAGAAAAGGCTTTGCAAAAATGTAGCTTTCTAATCTAATTGCAATTAGTTAAACAATTTTATTAATTGATGTGCAAATTATTTACAGCAGTTCAATTTGCTGGCCTAAGTCAAATTCAAAATGTTTCAAGATTTAAGTGAAATAAAAATCTCCAAAGCTATTAACACGTTCTCTAACAGTTTTCTTTTTTAATGTGAGAGCATTTGTTTGTCTGTACGAATGCACTATTTGTATTCAGTATATATCTGTAAATCAGTATATAAATATAAAAGCTAAATTATTTAAAATATAACTTAATCCCCACCACTTTAACGTTGCAAATTTATAAGCAAGTGGTCCCATGCGAGCAATTGTTTGTCTGTATGAACTTTTATACATCTTTTATATACATATCTAAAAATATTGGTTTCTACATTTACGGCCAAATACATAATAAAGTAAATTAGTTTTTAGGCAAACATAATCATCGAAAATGGCTGCGATGCAAAATCTTGAAGCACATCTAATTAATAAAGACCAAAATTTAGTCGAAAAGGGTTTCTTCAATAATAGATACTATTAGTGAGCTATTAAGCTGGTATTCGGCTGGCCCTTTGAGCGCACATTTTGGTCAGTTCTTCGACTGATGTTTGTCAAGTTCAGTATAAAATATGTAATGTTTGTTTTTAGGCCCGAAACTTGATACATTGTTAATTTGGAAACTTTAGCCATCGAGCCAAATACAATAAGAACTTTTTCAGTGACCTTGGCTACCCATGGCTTGGTTCTCACAGTTACAGAGAGCTTAACCCAAAAACCTATAAACTAATAATATTTTTTTGAAAATATTTGGCTTAGCAACGAGACATTGTTTGACCCCATTTGGTATTAGGAGCAGATGGAATCGATGTACAAAAATCTCAGCGCCTTCAGCATAACTAGTTGTTGCCGTGGGCTAGAAAATCGATAGTATTTTATTTTAATTAAAATACATGCATTTATGCAAAGCGAGTCGCGTGTCGTCAACCCTATTCCCATTACCCATTCCCCTAGTAACACAATAAAGCAGTCCATGGCCGTTTTGAACATAAACCTATGGCACATGCACGCAATTAATGTGCAATAATGGCGATGTGGCATGCCCCCCACACGTGCAACACACGCACCTGCCAGAAAATCATCCAGCGAGTCCGTCCAATGCTTGTAGTTTTCATGCTGCGTTCCCTTGTACCAAATCAGTGTGCTCTCCACATTGTCCACCGGAGGCAGTGGACGGAATCCAAGACCTGAAACGAATTCAAAATGAGTTGCCAAAAAACAACAACTATTTCATTCGGCTGTTCACCGCTTACCTGGATTTGTGCCAATTAACGAACTATCCAGCGTCCATTTGGGTATGCGCGGATCTAGGGTCTGGAAGAAGGCCCACATACAAATGGCCACCAAGGCGCCGAGCACGCCATAGAAAGCAATGTAGAAGATGCCGATCTTAGCTGCAATTATTTAAAAAATATGGCTGATTAGATTACTATTATTATTTATGTATTAAGAAGAAAACTCAATCAAGAAAAGATTCCTAAATGAAGCAGAATGCTGCGCTCTCAATTGAGTTGATCGAATTAATCACTTGAAGACTGACTGAGTGACTGCTTCGAGCACGCCCAGCTCAGACAAAAGTCACATGTGGGTTAATTTTTAAATTAATTGCCTCGTTGTCGTCAACGTCGTCGTCGGCGTCGGCGTCACAAGGGCCACAACTTGTGTGTTGTAGAGCGTTATTTTGTTTATGTAGATAACTGCTGGTCGGCATTGAATTACCGTAATGAGAAAATAAACAAATAACAATAACTGTCGCCAACAGCTCCACTCAAATTCACAGAAAACAACACACTGACGCCCAACTGAAAAATATTGCTGTTTTCCAAATAAATTCGCTGTGAATCATATCAAGCTTTAATAAGATATTTGCTCTCTCCAAACTGAAGCTTTGAAAAGTGCATTTGTGTATCTCCATAAGAGCTGACCTAAAAACAAGGCTCAAGAGCATCAAAGAGAAAAGAGATCAAGAGCTGATCAAATTTGAAATTAAGAGCGCGCGCACACACACATCTGCATCTGTGTTGCCAGCAACATAACCTCAACTTGGCCAACTTCTTCACTTTCGTAAGTGTTAGTGGTAATGGCTTGCAATAGAAAATGCGAGAGAACAGACAGAGAGAGAGAGATAGAGAGAGAGAGAGAGGGAGAGAGAGAGAGAGCACAAGATCGGAGTGTGAATTGACTGCCATAAAATATTAAAACAATGCAATATTTTGAAATATTAAAAAAAAACTATTGACAATCCGGAATAAATTAATGTGCTGTAATAGTTGATAGTACTTTAGCTGTAAATATCTGCATATTACGCAAAATTGGAAACTCGAAAAGGAGTTGTTCCTCTCATTTATGCAAATCAATTCAGATTCACGCCTTTGTTTCAGAGTTTCTTTTGGATAAGATGTGGCTTAGGGAACTGCAATTTGTTTATCTTAGAGAAAAAAGCTGCTTAAATATTTTCAATAATTAATTCAATGTCGAAAGGGCTCAGCTATTGAACTGTAATTTCTCCGAAAATCCATTGTATTATTTTTAATATACATATGAATATAAAAATTCTTATATTAATGTGGTACTCATCGAATCATACGGTTGTGTCTTTAAAATAAAGTTAAAATAAAGTTTATATTGTCATGTTCCTTGGATGGCAATAAACTAAGCATTTGCGATGCATTTCAAAAACAACTGTATATTCAAAAACTGTTAACAACCTTTTTGGATAACCATGGAATCAGTTTTAAAGATGAACATAATCTGAGAAAGCGTCTGCAAAACTTCAATACATTTTTGAAACCAAAGCCACTAGCATTCCAACTCACAAAGTAAACCCAATTATATAATACTTGTATTGTTTTAGGATTTTTTGTTGATATGCTATTCTTAGTTTGCTTTTTCTTCTTTCCCTATACCAACTCCGTTCTGCTCGAATATGGAATAAAATCAATCAATTTTATAATTATATTTTATTCAGAAAAGTTTCCAGTTCATATCAAAATAAATTTAATGCCATTGTTGTGTCACGATCATGCTTTCAATTTTGTTATTTCCCAACATCTTTTATCAACAACTACTGATTAGACAACATATCTGTCACTTCTTTTCCCAAACTAAATGATATTTTACGAAATTTACTCGTTAATATCCACAATTTTAAAAAAGTTTCTTGCTTGCTTTGAAGAGTTTTTTCAAATTGATTTTCTGGAAAGCTAAAAATCACAATTCAATTCCAGGTTCGCTGTTAGAGAGGTTCAAAATATATACTATAGTGGAACTAAAACTGATACAAGAAATTATATCATTTTTCACAAATCGGGAAGCCGAGCCAAAACTATTTACTATTTAAATTTGATTGAAATAGGAATCAGAAACATGTTTGATTATCTATTTTCTACAAAAATCAGAGAGTTATATGTACATTACAAATTAAAAGAATAATTTCTGATTATGTATTATTAAGAATCTGTAAGAGTAATACAATAATACATTTTCAGAATGTAAAAGTATAAGAAAAAGATTCGCATCTATTGATCTATTTGCACAACAACATTATACAAAACCTATTTATAATGTTTATGACACTTTTTAAGGAATAAGAAATTAAACTAGAATTAGGGAAAGGTAGTTCAACCAGCAAGTGAAGAAAAAGAAAAGCTCAAAAGATACAAGCTGATAGAATACATCAAAATTTATTCTAGTTCTGTTTATTGAAATTATAAACAACTTTTCTATAACAACTTGACTTAAATCCTGTGACACTAATAATCTCAACAATTGATAAACCGATAATTGGGGAAAATATAGGTTGAGTAAGTTGGCTTTTCAAAAATTGGAGCTAGCTTTGCTTTCAAGATTATTTTGATTAGATTTCTTCAGATGACGAACATCCACATTTGGACGAAATAATTACCATTAATTTAAAATAAAACTAAAATATTGGATAAATATGAAGACGCCCTAAATAATGAAGAAAACGATGTTTGGTTCCTCGAAAATATGGCAGAAATATAGCTTTCTAGTATTTTCAAAAATGTTAGATATTCCCTATTTATAGTTCATCGTTTTTCTTGTCTTTGGGCCTTTGACATTTGCCAAGAATTGAGAAAATTATTTTTAAATGGCTGCGAAAAGGCCAAATACGCTTAACGCAGCTGGTAATTCTCATCTTACTCATCTTCTCATGCCACATATATCTGCAAAATAATTTATTTTCTTTATTGCAGCAATAAAAGGCATCGATTTTTCCGCCAAATGATGTAAGCGTTCGCCTTGGGATAACCCAAATAACCCAAAGAACAAACTTCAAAACACTGGTAGAATACCGAATACAGGAGAGAGAAAATAAAGCCAACAACTACTATAAGCATCTACTTATTTGCCGCATATTTACATAAATAGTGCCAACGACGACAACAGCATAATCTCAAATATTCTCATATTGTCGCAATTGCCAAAAAGAAAAGCTGCGAAAAGTGGCAATGGAATATTTAATAATCAGCAAGATTTCAAGGATAAACGCGACTAAAACGATTCACAGCCTTTGCCAAAAGCGCAGAAACATTTCATTAAGAGTTTGGCAATGAGATTGAAATCGAAGTTTAAAAAAAATAATAAAGGGTTAACAAATTACATTTATATATTTAATAGTGGCACTTTTTCTAAAAGTTCTCTAGCATACAAATTTAAGCCTCAAGCCCCCAAAATGTTTTTATGGGTTAAATTTTGATGTTCATTATATATGACAGAAAAGTTATTCGTGCCAAGATTCAATGCCTTAGTTTTTCTCACAATACTCTACAAAAACGGCAATCATAACCAGACTGGACAGTACGAATCTGTGTACTGTACATATGATAATATTATTGATTAGTTGATTACAAGAAAAGTACAGGGAGACAGAGGACTTCAACAAGAGACCCATTCTGCAGTTTGATTTTGTTTGGCACTTTGGAGCCATCTTTTGTAATCAATAAGAAGAGCCAACTCCCGAATGCTGGGTTCGTTTTCCAAGTCCTGTCATTATCCGTATCCCATTCTGACAAAAGTGGTTGATTGTTTTCTTAGGACTTTATTGTGGCGATAAGGCTCCTTTGGAAACCTTTCCGTGCACACTCGTCCGCTTTTTTGCTGTTTTCTCTAAGGATTTAATCATTGCCTGTGCCTGAAAGACGCTGCACCAGTGAGGCATTCTTAATGACAGCAAAGATGGCATTTTCTTATAATTTCGAGCCTTCTAAGCAGTTCGAAAGACACTTCCAGAGAGTGTTGGAAAATCAATAGTGAGATTTTAACATTTCCAGTCAGCTAATGCTGCACGTCATCGGCGCTTATCAATTCAATTCTTAATGCATAAACTATATAATTGTTGTTTGTATTTAACTAGACATTGAGTAGTAGTAATCTAATTGGCGCGTGAATTATATTCTAATCGGGTAATATCCCACCCAGATAATGGGAGTTCTTTAAAGTCTACAGTTCACGTAAAGAAACAACTCGAACGTTGGAAACTCAGAAACAAACTGGGTCGCAAAGTTTAGCAAAAACAACTCAAAAGGTTTTTATATAAAAAAGACGTGATATTTCCTATTAAGTAACTTGAAGCACTCTTTTGTTCAATATTAACTGAAGCTAGTATCACACCTAAAGAAAGTTCGGTTTTGAAAATTAATTTCCAAAGAAGTTTTTGTGGCATATAAATTGATTTCAGTCCATAATATAAATTTATTTTAATTTAAATAAAATTAAATTGATGATAGTTTTGGAAACTCATTTGTTTGCAATTTATTGGCATGTCTGGACATTCTTTTAGCAGCTTACAAAACTGTACAATAGGAATGGGAACTGGTTTGAAATACTCATACATTTGCTTTTAATAAGTACTTTATGATTATTTTATTGTATTTATATAGCGCCCAATCAGCAATATCATAATTTTAGTACTAGAAGAACTAAAAGTGGAAACTATAAAATAGAGTTCCAGTGAAAATCAAAGGAAGCATACATTTGAATACTTCCTTGTAGGTTTTTTTTTTTTTGATTGTATTTCCCAAACGCTTTCAATATCACGAAAACCCGGTTGAACATAGTTCCCAATTAATAAAATTACATTTTTAGTTCTACAAGCATGAACTAAACAATTAAACAAAATACTCCTGAAAAGCTGTAGAAGGGCAGTTTTAAATATCTTTTATCTTTTTTTTTATAACATCCTATGTAAATAAAATTTCACATATCGCACATTTCTGCAACTTTTCTCATTCAACTGCCAACTTTTGCGGCAGCGAGCTAATTATTTCGCACAAATGTTATTTTTCATAGCATTCCTCCACCCACTAACCACTGCCAGCTGCATTATGTTACTTTAGCGAGTGCATAATGTGATAATAATAATAATAATTATGACTCTTAAAGTATGTCAACGATATTTTGAATATACTTGTAGTATGTGTATGTGGTGTGACTCAACGCTTATAATAAGTGTTTCGCCAGCAGTTCTCAAAAATAAAGCTTACTCGATAAATAATTTATGGCTAGGTGGGCGCTGAATCTTTCAATAATAACTAACTAGAAGTCACGTCTCAGATTTGGCTTTAACAGCAATACTATATTGTGAATGTTTATGATGGGGGGAGGGATTCATAAATCACAATTTTAAGATGAAGGTTATGACAGTTGGAGACAGATTTTGGAAAATCGTTAAGTTTGAAATATAGTATTTAAAAAACGAATATAAATCACAATTTATGGAACTGTGTCAATATATGTATGTAGCTCCAACGAATAAAATGCCGACTCTTTCTCTGCTACAACCTTTCAATCAAAACAAAAAAAAAATTAAAATCTACTAATCATTCCAAGTTTTTAAGTTTTTCGACATTCTAATCATATATGTGCCTTTAACATGGCGCCTGAAAGACGATTTGTTCGTCTGTCTGTATGAACGCCGAAATTCCAGAAAGTATAAGAGCGCAAATAACCACACTGGGAATGCACCTTCTTCTAAGTTCAATACACTCTTCAATTTTTCAAAATTTTAATTTTGATAAAAAAAAAACAAAAAAAATGTATTTAGATTCCTAGTGCTGCTTCCTTTCGTTTCTTTTTTAAATAGGACCTAAGATTTTACTACTTTTTTTAATTGTAAACAATTAATATGATTTGAATTGAATTTTTATAATTTTAAATAATTTTTTTATAAAGAGACTTAAAATTGTTTAAAATCTATATTAAACCTACATTCCAAAATAGCAATCCATTTCTAAAAATAGTATTGTTGGTATATAGGGACAAACATAGGCCAAGAACATATTTTAAATAGGTATAACTTTTTTACACCCAACGAAAGTCGGCATTGTTTTTAAAAATAGGTATAAAAACTGGCCATAAGTTTTTAAAAATAGGTATAAAATGGTTTCAATTTTTAAAAATAGGTATACAAATAGACAAATGCCCATACATATTACTAAGATTACTAATAAGTATGTCAATAACTTTAACGCTTGTTGCCAATCACCTGATCTTACAAGACATTTCGAAATTTTAACAACAACACTTACCCCATGATTTACGATCTCGTCCCATAACCGTGCCTTTCTCGGAGTTATATAAAAATGTGCTAAACTTGAATGGGATGGGCTTGCGTAACATATTCAGATCCTCATCCGTATTGGAGTGTGGCATTGGTACGGGTTTCGACATTTTGGTGGGTTTATTTACGATACTTTGTGATGTGAATTGAGATTCGTGGTCTGTGGCACTTCGAGGTTGAAGTGACAGTCAAGTTTGATTTATGTTAAGCACTATAATTTAGTTTAATAAATTACTATGAATATTTGGTGGCTGTACGAAGTAATTGCACTTTAAAGTTGTTGCTTTAGATAAGGTAAGTTTTTTAAGTAAAGGAGACCTAAGGGTTGCGTAAACGTTTCGTTCTTAAATTGTTGCGCTGTTTTTGTGATTATTTTTGATGGCAATAAGTGAAAAACCTTTTTTGAATAATTTTCCGTGTGCTTCGTATGTTTATAGCATTTATTTATTATCGGTTCTATTGTAAAGTTTTATTTATTATACTTTTGTGGGAAACTTTGACTTTCGTGTCTGCATTTGAATTTATTTATAATTGTTTCTTTTATCTTAAAATAAAGTAAATAAGTAAATAATAAATTGTTTTATTAAAATGTAATACTTTCATGTTGATGATGATATAGTCTATATCTATGTATAGTCTATCGAAATTTATTTTCCTTTTATTTATTTAAAATCATAAATAAACGTTTTTTTTAATGTTTTCGAAAGCTATTTAAAAAAAGTATAATAAAGTCTCATATTATGTTAAGATATTGATTTTTACCAAACATATTTACTGAATAAATGCAGTAAATAATATTATTTGTGATTTTCTTTTTCTTTATTCTGTATTCTAGCAGTGTTGCTAATTTGTTATAGGTTAATTAATTTAAAAAAAAAAATTCAATAAATAGCTTTTCAATTTCAAAGAAAAATAGAATCGAATATGAATCTCAATGTTGAAATATAAATTTTTACTAAATATTTTATTGAATATATCCTTTAAATTTAATATTTGTATTAAATTTGTTATATATTTATTTATATCAATTTTGATGAATTTTTTATAAATTATATTTAAAATTATTAAAAAAACGGTTGATTTCAATTTTTATTATTCATATTATTTATTTTTATTTATTATTATTATTATTATTATTATTATTATTATTATTATTATTATTATTATTATTATTATTATTATTATTATTATTATTATTATTATTATTATTATTATTATTATTATTTATTATTATTATTATTCTCTTTAATAAATAAATAAATATTTATGATTTATCGTGGCTCTAACATTTAGTTTAGACTCGTGATTATCCAAATTTTGTTTGAAATCGTTAAATCTATATTCAATTCAATATGAATATATATCTAAATTTCGCAATAAATTACAAATGTAAATGTATTAGGTGTATTATATAATGTATTGAATATAAAAACTTGAACTTAAACTTGTTTTACATAATTTTGTTTTCATAAAAGTTTATTTAAATTGTTTTTGAATTTCAAAATTAAAACGTTGTTTTCTGTTTCCAAGCAGTTTAACTTTAAATAAAAACATTTAATTTCTATATTCTAAGCAATTATTTGTTATTCAACAATTTGTTCAAACAATAATTTGGGTAAAACATTTTGAACACTTAGAAATCATTTTTTAAAATTTTAATCAATTTATTAAAAATGGAGATTGCGATTTTCGTAGTAATTTAAAGGCAACTTTAGTATGTCAATAATATTATTATTTATTACTTAACATATATTATTTATTTATTTGTTTAATATGAGCAATTGCTTCTATTATTTATTTCGATCCTTTTACTAATTTGATTGTTTTTAAAAGTTGTTTTTCTTTCTTTTCTAAAAATTATTTTCTTCACAATTTGTTTATGCATTCATGCTCTTTTTATATATTTCAGCTCACTTCCACTTCGCTAGCTTCGTTTCATTATTTTCTCTCTACACTTTGCTTGCCCACCGGATATGGTTCCAGGTTTCGTTTTTGGCGAACTTTTGGCGCTTTTTGTGTCACTGCCGTGGCAACAAGAACAATGGCAGCAACAACAAGCAACCCTCTGAACCACTCAAAGCATCAAGTTCAAATGCCTAAACGGCTTTTGCGGTTTCTGGCGCGACACAGAGAACAAGAACTGGGCCACAGATACATATAAAATACCTATGCGTATATGTACGTTTGTATATGTATCTAGATACTTTTGTGAGCCGATGCAACAGGCAAAAGGTTGGCCAAAGAAAAAATATTAGGTAGCCAGCAATATGTTAATAGGTATTTCCGCGTAGCTAACAACGTCTAGCTGGCTTCTCCAATATATCGTGGGCAACTGATAGATACATTTGTATCTTATTTTGGCATCGCCTGCATGTGCATGACAATATTTATTTTGGTTTGCCATTTCGCGGTTTGTTTTATTTTGGTTTAGTTTTTGTTTTAGAAAATGTGCACGCTCTCGCAGCACAGCTACGCACACTTAAAAGAAACAAAACACACACAGATACACACACACACACACACACACACACATTTGAATCTCTTGGGCCGCTGGTGCTCTTAGCGGCTCCGTTGCCACATACAAACAACCACACCTTTTTAAGCAGCGCGCTGCGGTCTTCTGAGGCCTCGCTTTAAAAACTGCTCAGCACCAGCAGTAGCAGCAGCAGCGGCAGCTAATACAGCCATCCGTCAGATACTTTTTGTGAGTGCGTATGCGTCTGTGTGTTTGTGTGAGTGTGTGTGTCGGGCGTGACAAAATTTTGGACACTCAATGTCTCATTGTTTTTTATATTATAATCTTATTTATTTATACGCATACTTAGCTTAGCTTAACTTTGATTAAAAGCTTAAGCTAGCCACACACACACACAAGTGAGACAAAAGGTTTTTCATTTATTTGCGCGATTCGTCAGCAGCAACAAAATAACAACAACAACAAGAACAGCGGTTGTAGCAACCACAACACACGTACACAAAACAAAACACTCCTTCTCTGCCACGCTTTTTAGTGGCTTCGGGGTTGCTTTCCACACACAACACAACACAATACCAACTACCGGCCCAAAGGACCAACTAGCCAAGCACTAAGAACCGACCGTGTCCGTCCGTTAAGTCCGTCTTCCTTTGGCGCGACCAAGCGACGCCTGATTCACTATTTCTTTAAGTAGGAAGAGATAAATATTTCTTATATTCGCTTCGTTTCGATTTGTTTCGCTCGCTCGCTCCGTCGCACGTTTAGTTGGCTCTCAAAACAAATTTCAGACTGAAACCAAAACCGAACTCTGTCAATAACGCAGCCCAATGCTTGATGTCCAACAGTCTTGGCTTCAGAGCCCGCAGAGCGGGTTTCAAATATGGGTTTGGAAAGCGCTTCAATTTATTCTACTCTCTCTCTCCCCTCCCATGCACACAGCTGTGTGTACAAGAGAGAGCCAGGGCTACGCACACTCTCTGCCGCTCTTTGGTTGAGTTTGTTTTGAGTGCAACACTTTTGGCGGCATTTCGTTTCGAGTGAGAATTGGGAGGAAAATGGCTCGTACCTTGGCTGTAGATTTTGGGTTGGGCTCTCCTCTAATCGTACTCGTACTTCTAATTGGCGTGGAAAAATTGTCGCTGTCGCCTTGCACTTGTTTTTAATTAGACGCGCAGCTGTTGTTTCTGTTGTTGCTTTGCAAATTTTGTGCAAAATTGCACTGTGCCTTGAGTACGATACTCACAGATGCACACTGTCAGATAATAAGCAGTACCTGAACTTGAATTTATTGTGCTTCAAAATTGTTTTCAATTGTTATTTACTAGGTTAGTTATAACTTTTCTATATTTAGAAATACAATTATAATGCTTTAGAAGAAAATGCCTCAATCATGGTATTTTAAATTGTGATCAAATTTTAAAACAAAATTGGTAAATAAATTTTCTAGGTTTTCATAAATGATTAAAGTTTCTTAAATTTAAAAATCATCATTAAGAGTTAACGTTATTATTGTTATGTGCGAATGATTGCTAAATATAATAATGATCTTCTACTTCTTTATATATCTAAAAGCTATAATGATTTCAAAATGCTCAAACATTTTTTGATACCCAATATTACTTTCAGTATTCTCTAAATCTTTCTAAAATTTGTAAACAATCTCCAAGGTTTGTAATCAAACATAACCGTCTGCTTGCTCTTAATATTATTTAATTTCTTTTTAATAACAAAATATAAAAATACAATTTTATTATGTTTAATAATATATGCAAACTAAGAACTAAGTTAAATATTGATTTACAAAAAAAAAAAAAACGAAGTCCTTCTTTGAATTCCGAGGAGATTATAAGTATTGGTTAAAAGCTAAAAATTACAAAAAGTTGTAAGTAAAAAGTAAAAGTAAACCGCTCCCAAAACAGAACTATATTATTTCTGCTGTAAGTGCGCTATAATATTTATTTATTATTTATTTAGAAATTTAAAAAGGAATTTAATTTATTCTTCATATTTAAAGCGGATCCTATGTTTTTCGTATTTTTTTATTTATTCTTCAACAATAACTAAATTTTTTAATTAAAAGATAAATATCGTAATGCGATATATAGTAATTATTAAATTTAAGCTGCATATGAAATATTGAAAAACTCTATTAACGCCTATTAACGCGCCTGAGCTGCTGGCTGTTGTAGAGAATAATATGTTTTAAACCATATTTAAAAAAAAAATCTGTAATACATCTTAAATTGTATTATTATTATTTATTTATCATTATTTTATGTGGATTTTTCTAGGGATTTTTCATTTTTCATCTTTTTTTAGGTTGTTTATCAACTTTTGGCTTATAAACAAATTTCTCTCACTGCACCATTACAAATTGCCTTTCATGTCTAAAAGCCACATTTAGCTCTCGAGCGTGTTCGCAAGATGCAAGTGCGCAGCTAAACGTTGTGTGACGTTCTATTTTTGTAGATGTTGTAGTCGTTGTTGCTTTGGAGCCTTACCCTGCAGACTGTTGCATGTGCGTTTACACACACAGACACACTTTTGATTGCAATTGCAATTACCATTGCACTTGTGGCGCTCATGAGTGGCCCTTTTGAGTGTTGAGTGAGAACCCTCTCTCTCTCCCTCTCTCTGCTTGGCTGCGCTCTTGGCCTTACTCTGCTTTCACTCCACACTCATGGCAACAACAACTTGCGTTGAGGGATCAGTGCTGAAGTGCGTGAGTTACAAAAAAAAACCAGCCATAAGCAGCAGAACCTGCTGTTTTGTGTCGGCCACAATTGAGCTGAGAGAAAAACCTGTTTTCACACACACACACACACACAGATACACACACGGACACATACTCCTGCTTTGCACAACTTCAGGCTCAGGCCGAAAAACTTCCTAAACGCCGAAACGACACATGAGGGTTGTTGTTGTAGTTGCTGCGGCAGCATTAGGGGTTGCTGGTTTCTGAAGCCCACCCTGTGCCGTCCTATCGTCCTGTCGTCCTCACGTCCTGCGTTCTTACTTCACAACACTCCGCTCTTCGCCGCTTCGCGCTACACGAAATGCAAATATTTTTACAATCTATGAATGAGTTTTGCACTTGTATGTGTGTGTGTGTGTGTGTGTGTGTGTGTGTGTACGAGCGTTCAAGTGTGTATGTGTGTTTGTGACAAGGATACATCAAAATGTGTGACAAGCTCTACTTGTTTCTTCTTTTTCTCTGGCTGCTTTCCTGAAGTGAAGCACATTCATTAAAAATGCGTTGCTGCAAATGAAATATTGAAGAGCCGTTTAAAACAAAAAACAAAAAAAAAAAAAAAAACAGCAGAATGAAGCGACTTCTGACTCTTTAATACCCTGTAACAGATTGCTTAATTAGTTGAATGTTTTTGTTTTATACACATTTCTTGTCAAATTAAGATTTGTTTCAGTTCGGAACTTAACATTTTGCACTCCTCCTTTCCACAAAGGACATACTACAGTTCCCATTGTCCAACAAATATGACTTTCTGATAGTTTGTTGTTTTAAGGCATAGAAGTTGAAAGTTTAAATATAACAGTAGTAATATATGAAGTATGGGGAGAAAGCATGGAGATTAAATCCAAAGATACCCTTTGTTACATTCGTAAATAGGCATAGGAAGTACATACATATGTACATATCAGAGAACTGAAACGGCATTCTCGGACATCTCTGTGACAAATCTATGACTGGTTGTGAACGAGCTCTCACCGAACCCTCAGTTCGAATCAAAACTGCAAATATTCAGAAGTAAGCAATGGTCCATCGTCGTATTTACAATCATACTCGGATGACCGCAATGTTCGCTAAAATACGGGTATTTCTCGAGTCATGACACCGACAATTATCTCGGCACTTGCGCCGACAATGATCTCGACATTGCAAATTTTCTATTGTTTTTTCGGCCATTAGTTCATTGGCGACTTCATATACAAGAATAAGCATATAAATTGAGGAAACCAACAAAACTGTTAGCGGAAGGAAATACTTTCCTTGTTATTTACAAATAATTATGCAATTTTAATGTATATTAATTTGCTTACTTTAACACTTTGGGTTGCTTTGTTTAAGAAATGAAATCATAATCAAAAATAGTAAATAAATATGTTTAGTTTTAATTATTTGCCTCTTTATTTAAAATACGTACATATAGTATATATGTTCTCGCATAATTGCAAACAAAACTGCACAATACTCGAGTAATACAAGAACAAGAACCGAGCAATACCCTTTAATTGACTCCTTTGATCAAACGCACATGCTCGATCGTTCGGTTTGTTTCGATCAGGACCCAGTCATCATAAAGGAAGTGACCGAGCCTGATCTGTTCGAAAGCAAAACAGTCAAGGCCGGTTCTCAACTCGTTCGAACTCTTTTGCTGCCAAGCAAAGATCTGAATTTGTGGCAAGGGTGGTCGAACACACTCGATGATTACAAATCATAAGCCGAGAGCATTGCTAAGGAGCGCTAAGAATTGGAGGAGTTGTAATATAATGGTAGAATGCATAGAAAAAATAATATAAAGCGAAGCTTATCGGTTAAAATAATTGTATAGTTATTCATTGGAATTCCACTTTAGAAACAATCGCCAGAAC